CCATCCCACGCCTTCGCTCGCCAATGTGGCACGTCGTGGTAGCCGTTGGGTAGACATACGAAGCACACGCCCAGGGCAGCGAAGCCTCCGCAGTGAAATAATTCTGTCAATCGGTCCGCGGAGTTTGTCTGATTTGAACACTCACCGACGGACTTCCTCATTCCTGATGTGATGCCCTGAAAGGGTGAGAGGAGATGCGGTTAGCCAGTACTGTACTAGGACCTTACATTTGGAAGGGGCAAGGGTCAACCCAACTTGGGAGACGGACATCTCCAGTCTAAGCAGCACCTGCTGGGCGGCCTGAGAGGACTCACAAATCACAGCGATGTCATCGGCGTACTCCAAGTCCCGAAAGCGGTCACCAGATAGCAGTTCAATGCCACAGAACTCGGTTTTCCACGGTAGTACCCAGGATCTCGTCCATGGTGAAGTTGAACAGGAATGGAGGAGCTGGGCACCCCTGTTTAACATCACTAGTGTTACTGAATGAGGGCGAAAAGTCTCCGTATACTCGCACGCGGCCAGGAGTTTGATGGTAAATGGCACGGAGAATGATGATGTACTTCTCAGATACTCTCCTCTTCTATGAGCAGTCCCAAAGAGCCACTCTGTCAACAGAGTCCAACGCGGCCCGAATGTCCTATAGTTAATCAACTTAACGTATGGCGATGTTCAAGTATATGGCAGATCGTAAAGATGTGATCAACGCAACTGCGACACAGGCAAAATCCAGGTGCTGTTCCCGTACACAACTGAGCCTCCGCAGGAGTAAGACAGCGAACAGTTTGGATGTGACACAAATGAGGCTGATGCCACGATGATTGGTGCAAACCGTCCGGTCTCCTTTTTTGTTGACAGGTACAACATCCGCTAACTTCCAGTTGAGTGGGATGGTTTCAGTAGTCCAAATCTGATGAAAGAGAGATGTCATTTTACGGGTGAGAGCAGGACCCCCATGTTTAAACAGGGCTGGAGGAATTTCATCTGGACCAGGTGGCTTGTGGCGCTTTAGTAGACAAAGCTCATAGGAAACCTCAGCCTCCGTCGCTGGAGAAACATCAACGCACCTGGAAGCACTGTGAATCCCGGAAGATGGACTTGGTTGTCCTGGTGGCCAGTTGAACTGATATTCAAAGTGCTCTGCCCATCGTACCAGACGACGGTGACGACTGTGAATTAGTTCGCCGTCATTTTCACGCACAACCTCACTCACTATTGCTCTTCTGCCTCCCGTGGAGCGAATAAGTTGAAAGCGTTTGCAGGAGTTTCCTGACGAGGCTGCCTGCTCCATCTCAATGACGCGCTGTGTCCACCAAACCTCGCAATCCTTCCTAAGAAGCTGTCTGAGCTCAGCACCTGTGGTTCTGTGTAATGCGTTGTACTCGACTCCGGCGGGAATTGTTCGACGACTTTCCATTAATTGGAGAGACTGTGTGGAGATCCAGAGACAAGCAGCTCGTCTAGTGAAGCGACAAACCAGGGTCGCGGACTTTCGTAAGGCGCTCTAGATCTGTGCCCAGGGTGTCTCAACATCGGAGTATGGAGGACGCAGGTTGGAGGCTAATGTGTTCTGAAATGCGCCGATAACATTTGGAGTGGCGAGCTTATCTATGTCAAGCCGTTTCTGGCGACGCTGTTGGGTGCCCCCAAAGCGCAGAACGAGCTTAGCACACACGAGCGCATGATCCGAAGTCGGGTAAGTGTTCCATATTGACTTTCATTTTGTTATGCAGCCTCGTCAACGGTAACTAACAGCGATATAGTCAATGTGCGTCCAAGGTTGACCAGGCACCGGAGGTCACCATGTGGCTCGTTGGCGCCAGGAACGTCGGAAATTGATACTCCTAAGGAACAATTCGTGATCGGCGCACAGTTGCAGGAGTCGATCGCCGTTGTCCGTGCTGCGAGTACCGTGGCTGTGTTGACCCCCAAGTTCGCGCTCATGAACCTCTAGTCTACCGATCTGCGCATTTAGGTCACTGGCAAGTATCACGATGTCCGTGCGGCGTTTTTTGCGGAGGAGGTCAGTGAGTTGGAGGTAGAACTCGTCTTTAACTTGCGCTACAGTCCGTAGCATCGTACGTTGCCACAATGAATAAGCAGCGCCTACTGGTCCTGTGGCTGGAAGATCGCACTGAGGTTTTCAAGCGGACTGCACAAAGACGACTGTTGACTGGGAACCAGTAAATGAGCGCTGCCTCAGCACGCACGCTTAACGTAACTCCTACGCCTGCGCAACCAGAGGCTGCCGCTGTCGCATCTCCAGATAAGCGCAAGGTGAATGTGCAATTGAAACTTGGGGAGGGTGATGGCAATCGCAGTGTGATGCTGGAGTCTTCTAAACGGGTTTCGGTTAAGCAGCAAACGTCGATTGAGAGGGTTTCCAAGGTTCGCGCAAGGGCAGTTTGTGAACCAATCTGAATGAGCGATCGAACATTAGACGTAGCTGGCTTCAAGAACGATCGGAGTGCAACAAAAGCCTTGCTGTTGAAATTGGATCGTATTCGATCGGTTTTTAGCGGTTCATTGATGTGGCCAAAGGTACCATTTTACTTTGCAATACACTTTTGGAGACTCGAAATGGGAGGGTGGTTGCCAAGAACAGGAGGGTTGAATAAAGGTGGAACGAAGTACGTGGTTTGCGGTGTGGTATTGTGAGTTTTGCGTGCCCGGCCGCCAGCACTTCGGCTAAGGAGAGAGTTCAGAGAGCGAGAGATGTGAGCAGAGTTGTAAATCCATCATGTCATGTGTTGTGTGGGCATACAGGTTCCCGGTTGCCCACGCCGAGGAATGGGGTTGACTTAGGGGGCTCTACCCGGAGCCTTTGGTCATAGGGACCTGACCCGCAAGCAGCGGGGCGGATTCGGAGTATCGCACCCATTGGGAGCTGGTGACCGATTTCTCGGTTCATGCGCGTCTCATTTTTGCGCGCTGCCAAACACGGTCCAGCTGAAGAATTACAGTGCTCCAACGAGGTAGTGCGAGTGGCAGTGACTATTTAGTGGCGAGTCACATCCGTCATGTCGCAGTGTTGTTAAACGGACATATGTGGCTTTTTATAAGGGGAACGCTTGTCAGGCGAAAACCCAACACGTCCTGTAACACTGCCACCAAATCTCTTGCTGTAGTTTGTAGCTCCCTAATCACCCAGTTGGTACCACGAGGAAGTAGTTCGGCAAGCCAGCCCCATATACAACCATGACTACTTCAACCATATCCTTCATCGAGCGTCTCGCAGCTTATCTAGGGTCACCTTATCTGCTACATTCAGCAGGGCGATAAGCAAAAACGCTACTACTGGCGCTCTATTCTTCCACCTGTTTCTCTTACTTTCATATCAATCCCCATTACCAACCTTCCTTCTATACTTCCCAGTTTGCTTGGTAGCAACCACAATGTCACTGGAGTCATATTATCTGCAGCTATCTTCTCGCACCACCCGCTGGACGCCCATAGGCAGCAGTCCCTTATAGGGCCACTCTGTGCCGTTTCCCTACCGGCGTTCACCGGTCACACTCTAAGGCAACTAGGTCAACGGGCTGCACTTGCGCGGACGTTAGACACGATGGGTATTGACGTGTGTTGTGTGTCCGAAACTGTAATCGATGCCTCTCATTGAGTTGTTACATTAACTGCCCCCGCTTTGTCCTCCTATTATTCATTGCACACATCCGGAGACTCTGATGCGGAAATTACTGGTCAAGCTGGAGCAGACGTCATTCTCGGCTTCAAGGCTAGGTCATCGTTGATTGATTAGAGTCCCATGAACAGCCGTTTCTATGCAGTCCGTTTGACGACATCAACTAAGGTTGATTCACGAGGTATCACTATCCACTGCTTGTTTGTTGTTGCTGCTTATGTCCCACTGACTGCAGTTCTGATGCTGTCAAATACGCCTTCTATCACGGCCTGAACATGTTACTACACAGGGTTACCAGTTCAGATATCATAGTTCTTGCAGAGGATATGAATGCGCGAGTAGTTTGTCTGAGCTCTTCAGAAGCTCTGGTGTGTTAACTGTGAACTTGACTCAGACCGTGCGAAGAATAGCGAGCCTCTGTTACAGCTGCGTATGGCGCACCAGCTGTTTCTTAATAGCACCGCTTTTAGACACAGTAGACTCCGAAGTGCCACTTGGCGCCCTCCTGTAGCAGGCCAGCGATGGACCCCAATAGATCACGTTACCATGAGTTACAGGTGGCGTGATTCCATCCTGAATTGTCACTCATTCTGGAGTATTTGCGTCTACTGTCGGCCGGTGACCGAGTGGTCTTCACGCCTGGTTTGCGATCGTATGGTTACCGGTTCAAATCCCCATATGGACGGGCGTCCTCATCAGTATTCTCATCGCATGCGCGACTGGTGCTGGTCGCGCCGCAGCAAAGCTCGTTACGGCGTACAACTGACAATTTTTCATTGTTTTCATTACTTGCGTCGACTCTGATCATGCTTTGGTACGTTACCGTGTTTCCATGAACTTAACCGGGGGACGTACCAACCCCTTCCCCGACCGGCAACTAAGAAGCCATCTCAGTCTTCGGTTAAGCAACATTAGGTATTGCAATTGTAAGTAGACGGGTATCTTTTGCTGTGCGGAGGAACTGCTGGCTTGTCACCATCTGTTCGGCGGCTATGAAATCTAATGAATGCCTCTGGGCAGTCATGTGTCCGTACCGTCTGCGTGATAAAATACAATTGTGATAACCTCTACTGAACCAGCGTGAGGCTTTTGAAATGCTCGTATAATCCCGTTCACTTAACCTTTCCACAAACGAAGCGTTCTATCAAGCCATCTTTTCATCCAGTCATTAGTCAGTTGCTGTTATTGTTTGCTTACTTTCTGACACTTCATCGGGTCGCTTTTTCCGACTTTTCCCACCTTACAATATTGTGAATAGTTAATCCCAATTATAATTAGTACACCGTTTTCGCTTCAGTGACCCCACCTGTGCCCTTTCTTATCGTTTTCAATGTTCCATAACTAATTCTCTTTGTTGCAGGCCGTTCCCCGTGCTGATCCAGCATTTCCCCGAATTCAGCTCACGCGATGTTCACGGAAACTACGTCGACTGCGCACGCTGGTTCGGTGCCCTTGTGATTTCGAAATCTTGCGAAAATAGCGTCACACTGTGGAAACCTGGAGGTTTGGAGGACACTTCACACGGTCAGACCTCACAACCTAACTGCTCCAGCAACAGTAGCAACGGAGTCACCGAGGTCAGTGGTGTTCGATTGCCCAGTCGTATGCATCCTATCGGCGGGGGTTCTGCGTCCGGAGCTCTTGCTCATGCCATACCCGGAGTCCCGACGGAGCACAAAACCAGCATTATTCATCAGCTAAAAGCTCCCGAATGCAATTTGTGGTACATTCGTTTCGACATCGACTTGGATAATCAAGTGTTGGCTCTTGGGACAGGAACTGGGCCTGCTCGGATCTATCTGTGGGATCTGAAGTATCCCGAAGTGGCTCTCAATCTACCAGCCCAAGTACTTCACATTCCTACGATTGTCGGAACAGGGTCGAGTGGAATTCCCCTAAGTCACAGTGCCATTCGTCAAACTCGGTTCGCTAACAACGGTAGCACGCTTATATGTGTCGGTGATAATGGGCTCATTATTCGCTTCGATCTTTGCGGCTAAATCGTTCTGCGGTCGTGTTGCATTTTGTACAGTCCTATTATTCTTTTTCTATATGAGGATTTCCGGTGTCTTTTTCATACGATTATGTATTCTGTTTTTACTAGGAATGCACCACAATCTATCTCTTTCCGATAGTTTTTATCGATCGATCACGATTTGCCTGGGCTAATTTTTTTGTCAGACGAAGCGAACCTCTTGGTAGGGAGTATATGTAATCAAACTTATGTACAACATGCCAACGTCATTTCCGAACCGTGTTTGCGGTTTGAGCGTCAAGTTCTTCCGCGGTCCTACTTTCATAACTGGTGCCCTTAATCGATCCAATTCCTTTTCTCAAACAGGCCGCGACTACAGAGAACTCACTCCGGGTCGATTGGGCTTCCCAGCTTACACAAAGCTTCATTTTTGCTCCATGAACACTTGAGTGCACCACACTTGTTCATCACGGTTAGTCGGTACACTAAATTCAAAGAACACGAGTCATGATGGGCTTTCAGTTCAGTTGCAGAACAATTCCTGCCAGCGCACTCCATCGTCGGTTGAGAGAATGATCCCGAAAAAGACACCAGAATCAAAAGTTATCTTGTTTTCTGTGGCTCTCGCCGCCGTTGGCCGAAGGGACTACACACCTGCGTTGTAAGCTGGAAGCCATCGATACGAATCCGCGTAGATTCGTGCGACCTCACGATATACGTAACCCTGCCGCGACTGTTTGTCGCGTGGCAGCGAAGCTTCGTTGCTGTGTGCCGGCGTACTGCTAATGCTTCTCCTCATCGCAGTTAAATATCCCGTGTTCGTATGTTTTCTATCTTATGGTATATCAGACTGGAGAGAAACACTGTCATATCTGGCCCGTCGAACAATCCAAACTCAGACTGACGACTAGATTGGTCACTCACACTCACTGACGTTTCGTACCGCGCTGCTCTGCTACATAAACGCGCACTGACAACGTCGCCTCGGGTGGTGATGAAACGTTTGCAGTCAAACTGCTGAGCTCAGCGAACACTCAGACCACCAACTGAACAACCTGAGCTACCAACATTTGCCTCTATATCACATATAGCTACTTACCATATCCAGGCATCAGAAACTGTACTACACCGTGTCAGCACGATTACATTGAAACGGCCCCCTAAGAACTTGGCACGGTGTTCTCTATGCACGTGGAGCATTCAACCGAAATCCCAATACCGCTTAGACGACACAATCATAAGGCCGTGCCATTTAAACGCAGCGACCTAAACATGCATTTAACTGACGAACACCAATGACCACGTGGCCGATCTTAGGGGGTCTGAGATGTTGTGTTCATTTAGGCTATATTGCTCAACCAACCCATTTTACACGTTTCCCTATCCGCCGATCAACTTAGAAAAAGAGGCTGTAATCTTAGCGCTACAGATTGAAGGCGACTCAAATCCTTTCTCCCCTGATAAGAGTGCCTTTTGAGTAATTTGTGCTTTGGCCCACGTATTTGAGCTATATATTGACAATAGTAGAATGAGAACTACTAATAATATCGTTGCTATTTTTGTGATCAACCGATTTCTCTCGCTTAATGCTTATTAAAGCATTATTCAAATTGCTGACTAACTAGACGAAGAAGGGAGAGTAGAGAAGTTACTTTCCGCGAAGTAACATTCCCCTTAAAGGAAATGTTTGGTCACGTGCGACTAAAGATCCTTCTGACGGAGAGTCTGCATATATGTCTTACGGCTTTCACCAAGCTGCATCCGTCTGGAAACTTCACGTGGTGCTGCGCCGGTTCGTCAACGCTTACAAATGGGTGGTTCCCACTTCATGTCATCTACGGGTCACCGACCGTAACCTATGTGAGTATGAGCAGCCCCGCAGTATTCCGGCCTGCACGCAGCCAGTGTTGGTTTTGTGGCAGCAAAGAGTCCGTACGAGATTTTGGTCCACTGCTAGTGCTCTATTTTAAAGAATCGGTAGGCAACACAGTTGCTACCCAAGAAATAAATCCTTCCCTTCAACTCATCACCTCGCACTTTTTGATGGTCTTGCAGGCGATTCAGCGACACTTTGAGTTTAATAGGTTTCAGACCATCACATAACCGAGTACGTTCTACTCATACACATAAAGGGTTTATCCCTCGACATTACGAGGCACATTCCAAACGATTGATCTAATCATTATGTACAACGAGATCGCATGGGACGGATGATATTTCTTTGAGCTTTTTCACTGCAGTCCCTAGGCTATTATGCAGGGCTGATTGATCGACCGATCTTTCGAATAGATGAAGAACTTACTACTACTAATAATAATAATAATAAATGCAAATGTTCCAGTAAAGTAATACGGCCAATTGTGCAGTCCTCTCCAGGGGACCTGCTTTCATGCAGGGGTCCCTCGAAAGGTTTCACCCACACTTCTATGTCTTATCTGACCTTGTGCTGGTGTGGCTTTAAAGCAGTTTAGCCGTCTCCTATTCTACTCATCTTTACGCTCTTTTTATATATACATTTGTGGAGTCACGCCATCTAACTCGTACCGTAAATCGGTTTTTTTAAGTCAAGCACCTTTATTACTCGCCACTGAGTCAATAGCAATACGCCGTGTATGAATTCCTTTGTTAGCTTGGAAACTTACATCAGTCACCTCAGATGATCGAACCAGTCGTGGCCAACAATGCAGTAAAGAAGAATATCCTGTATGACGAGGTAGAAGGATAATTACGTCAATGATAATAAATAAGGAAATGTCGTTTAGCTACAGCCAAGAAAGGTCGATCGACTTCCCGGTCAAATTTGCGGCGTGACTACCGTAATAGATGACTGCTGGAATTATGTTAGGCAGTTCTGAAGGGAGCTTTCAGATTCTTCCATGCTTTCGAAAATTACAGCATCTGATATTGCGGAACACTGCAAATCGCAATCTGCTTCTGGGCTGTTGCTCTCGCGAAGGAAGAAAAGAATATTAACATTGCACAGAACGAATGTTTAAAAAATAGACTCAAAGGTAAATAAAATTTAAAAAAAAACATTCTGTATTTCGACAGTGTGACACGAATTATGTGGTTGATCCGATTGATTTTCGCAAATGGGTGGTTAAAAGCAGTTTCTTTTCAAGTTGTCACAAGAAAAGAGGTTCAGGTCGAGGCTTCAATGGCAGCCGAGGTGTATAGGAACTGATGTTTGCGGATGCCATGAAGTACTCCGTAGCTTTATGCGATACCTCCGGTCAGGAAAGAGAATTAGTTGGAAATGCGGAAAACAGTTTGTTTATAAATAAACAAATACTAGGATGCTCACAGACCATAACTCACTCGTCAGAATTTATTAACTACGTTTAGATCTATAGGTTTCGTTTTGCGGGGTTCAGTGTGGCATTTCTTACTGTTGTTGCGCTTCATGCCAACGGTTGCTAGGCGTCAGAATGTTAAATAAGGAAGGAAAAGGATAAAATGATGGCGGGTGATACTACATCTTAGATATCTGCTAGGCCGTTTTCAAATGCCACCTCTTTCGTGACATATTGTCTCCGCAGCCCTGTTGCCTTTTCAACAGTTAACAAAATGCGGATCTGCTTATGAAAGATTTCAGGTAATTTATGTTCTCGCAGCTTGGACAGAAACCTGTTCCATATATTTGCGTAAACGTTCAGATGAAGGTTCTTGCGTGCCTGAGTTCTAGACCTTTCTGTTTTTAGTAAGTTGTGGCTATCTCGAATACTATAGTTTGAATTTCAAATCCAGGCTTGGGGCATGAGCTCGCTTGTGTATGATATTGAATAAGTGACTTGTATTAACTTCCATTCGCCTGAGCCATACCGGGTCTAGTTGTAAGACCTTGCAACGCTGTGCGTAAGAGCTTTTAGAGGCCGACCCCAGCGCTTCGTGAACCATCTCTGCGTTTTCTCGAGTTGCTGGCGATCACCTTTTCTTACATTGCTGTGGATCATTACACAATAGTTTAACAGTGGTCAGGTTTTCATCTCATACAGGGTGGATTTGAAATCGCACATTGCTATTCTTTTGAAAAGTTGTCCTTTACTTCGACCAGCTTTAATAACTATATTTGCCGTGTGCTGCATAAAATTCAGTGCGCCAAAATAGTGAAGACCCAAGTCTTTTACTACGCTGTTGCACGTTATTGGTTTCCCACGCAGAACCTGAGTGCCCGGTGTGATTGCACAACAGAATAGTAGGACATTGAACTTTTCAGTTGAGAATGGCATATCCAAATTGGTGCACCATAGCTCAAGGGCTTTTAGATCAATTATGATGGTGTTCATGATATGACTCGTGTCAATAACATCAAAATGTAAACGATTTTCACGTCGTCAGCAAACACATATGAGACACCGTAGTGTATTGCGTCGAATATGTCGTAAAAATACATCAAATGAGTAGTGGGCCAATAACGATGTCCTGAACTACGCCACTCAGCACTGGTCTAGGCTGTGAATTTTGACCATTTGTGCTAACTAACCACTTGGGTTCGGTTTGAATGGTCGCTAATTTCAACTACTGCGACTATCTATCATGAGGTACACGATCAAACGCTTTTTGCATTTCTAGGAAGGTAACTACTGATGATTTCCTGCAGTCTAAAGATCGGGTAAGATAATTGCTAAAGGCAAGCTGACATGTTACACGTTAGTGTTTCTTCAGAAATCCATGTTGTGCGTTATTAAGCAGGCCACCTGCCTGCCGGAAATCTACCGTTTTTGAAACCATTAGTCTTTCATTCTACAAATTATGGAAGTGTGGCTGATTGCCCTGTGGTTTCTGCCGTCATGTTTGGATCCAGCTTTGAGATGGGGTACAACATTGGCTGTCTACCACCGTGTCGGTACTTTGCCGGCCTTCATTGAGAGCAGATTGAGTAGAAGAAGAGGGATGTTTGACCCCACTAGTTTTAACGCGATTGAAGGAAGTGCATCAGGGCCTTCATCTTTAGACTGTTTTATAACTCCCAAATTGTATTTTATATCTCGGAGTGGAAATTATATTTTAGAGAGTTAGTTAGAGGTTATGGTGGGTAAATCAGACGAAGCGAACTAATTGGCTTTGCTGAAAGATAAACAAAGTACGGATTCAGAACCTCGGTAATGGAGATAGGGTCGTGCACGACAGCCATTTGGAAGCGTGATAACACTTATTTCATTCATCGTCGAGTTTCGAAGTTTTGT